CGGGCCCTCGTGGGAGCCCGCGGGGATGCTCGGGGCGCAGCAGAGACTTCTGGGAAAGGGGACCCTCCGCAGTGCGGGTGGGAGCGGGGTGAGAGGCCCACGGGGTCGGGGTGGGGTGCGCTGCGCTGCGAGGGTGGGGGAGGGTCCATGGAGAAAGAGAAGCCCCGGGTGTGCGGCTGAGGGGACTTGCAGGAGGCCTGGGCTGAAGGAGCAGCCATAGCCCGGTCCTGGTGTTGCGAGGGCTGCTCCTCACAGGCACAAGTGTGTCGGAGCCATGGCTCGCTAGGTTGGGGCATAGGTCCCTTTCGCCCAGCCTCACGTCCTGCCCTGGCACCATGTGGCAGGATGCCCTGGGCAGGGGTCCCTGCTGGATTGGTCCACTCCACTCTTGGCTTGCGAGCTCCCCAGCATGCGTCTGGCATGCTTCAAAGACACCCCCCGATACCTGCTTTGCTAACGTGCCTGCCTTGGGTGCAGGGTTACAGCCCCTTCTCGGCTTCTGGAGCCTCCTGCTGAGGGTCTTGCTGCTCGTTTCCCTGCAACTTCTTGTTTGTACGCTTTCTGTCCACGACTTCACTGAGTCCCAGGATCTGGTCAACTTCCTCCTGGCTCTGGCCAAGCTAGCCAGTTCCCAGGCCAGCAAAGTGGCTCTGGGTGGGGGAGGGTGGGTTGTGTTCCTGTCCTTCCTCAGCTCATGTCTCCAGGTGGTGTTGAGCTGGTTGGTGGGCCTAGGCCCATGAATCTCTCTGGCACAGGTTTTCAGACTTTTTTGGTTGGTGTACCCCAGTGGCTGCTTGATGAGCGGGGGGGCTGCTGCAGCTGATGGACGAGCAGGGATGGGTCTGGGGGGCAAAACCGGAAGTGCCTGCTGCTTCTCTGCAGTGCTGCCATGTACCCCCTGGGGCCTTCCCAAGTACCCCTAGGGGCATATGTACCCCTGGTTGACAAGCCTTGCTGTGGCACATCGGATCGCCACTGTGACATGTAAGGACTAAGAGTGGATACTGGAAGGGGGAGTGAACAGGATATAACCAGTGTTTTTTTCCCATTTCTTTCCCACTTTTAGCCTCCAGCATTTAGGCTGCTGATAGATGTGGAGAAAAATGTGAAAAAACTGAAAATGCTTTACTGGAAGAAGCAGCGTGTTACTTCAACCCAGCTTTGTAGTGTCTGTATTGATAAGGCGCTTCAGCAGTGCTTTTTGGCACTTTTATCTAAATCTTATTCAGTCAGCTATTAGATTAAAAAAAAGTGCCAAGAAAGCCCCACTAAAGCGCTTGATCTCTACAGATAATGCGTGAGCTGGGTCCAGTGAACGTGATACCTCTTCTGGGCATGTGCTGGGCTTGGTGTGGGGGCGTGCTAAGTTTAAAGTGAAGCACCATTTTTTTTATGTCTGTAAGCAGCCTTAAAGTCTAGGAAGCTCTGATTCAGCGACCATGACACTCACTCCCATGCTCAATCGCTACTGGTGCACCTTTCTTCCAATGATTTGTCCAATCTCTTTTCTAATTTGGTAATTTAGTCTGGTGGATTTTTAAAAGGTCTCTGATCTTTGGTTCCTGACTTGGAGTACTGCCCTAAATACTGTATTATTAAGGTGACACATCTTTGGATTGTTTGACCACTGAAAGGTTTTAATTTCAGTTGTCTAGTTTGATAGTTTTTTCCTTTACAGCAGTTTTTGTTTCCACTGGCAGGTGTGTGGCAGCGTGTATAAAATAAGTTAAAATGTGGGTAAGTTCCCTGCTTCTTGGATGTATTGGGAGATGTAGCTTGTTTGTTTTTAAAACCCCTTCAGGAGAAAAAATACTGCATTTGTTTGTTATTCTAGTGTCATAAACCATCACATTAAGACCTAGTTTCATTGTTTTAGGCTCTGAGTAATTACCTAGAAATTTTTGCACACTTTTTAATCTCTTAAATAGGCTCAGATTGTCGGTGATATTTAAGTATTGCTCTGCACAGTATTGCAGGGTTTTATTTCACTGTCCTGTGATCTAGTGGTATCCTCAGCCTTGAATTAGGTGTGTGGGGTGCATGAACAATGCATGGGGAGACTTAAATGCCTGGGGAAGTCTCAGAAGGCTGTGGAGTTACCTAAACTGGTTAGGATTGAAATGCAGAGGAAAGGGGAAGGGCTCAGGCATTTAATTTGGCATGCTTGGCCAGCAACAGATGCCTTGTTTTTTCCTGAGCTCTTTCCTGCAGGGACTTAAGTCACATCAACTGCTTGTATAGTCTGCATCTGTGTTTTCTATTCTATTGGTGAAATACTAGAGAGGAATGGGAGACAAACACTCCAGAATACTTAGTGGCCTTACAGAAGATAAGGCTTTTACCTTCTGTGTGATGATGTCTGCTGTGCCTAAATGGTGACTGAAGTACCTATGTACTTCTAAGGAGAGGAGTAGAGTAACGGTTGTCATCCTTCTTAGACTAGAACACCAATAATTCAAGGCACCCATCGAAAAATGCCAACTCTTAGTTTTCATTCAGTGTTTGACTACAGAATAAGTAATTAGAGCAATCTTTCTGTTGCAAAGACCTCAGAAAGCTCATGGGATTAAAATGTTTTTAACCCCAAGCAGGTCAAAGTGTTTTTAACACTATAGATTTCTGTTTCTATATCCAGTGTGATATATGTTTGCATGTCTAACAGTGCTAACATTGCACTGCTTCCTCTGGCACCCATGATAGGTTCTCAAGGCACTTCAGAATGCTGCATCACCCTGGCCACAGAGACTGCTGGCATAGTAACCATTAACGTATTTTTTGGGCCATCTTGCATGCAACAAATTTTGGTGTTCTAGTTTTGTGTGTGGAGACTTTTTAAAAGCATAAAGTAGAACTGGCACCCAACTTCCTCTGGCTTTTTAACAAAAATCTGGGTGCCAGATTCCTGGATGCCTCTTTAAAATGAATCTCCACTAAATAGTTCCATTCATCTCCATCAAAGGCTTTTTCTGCCTGCAGTGGTAACCTGTAAGGACTCTTTGCTGACTGAGCAGTGAGGTTCACTTCAGTAATTGCCTGATGTTCTGATATTGACACATTTAGACTGTTTAGTTTGGTTAAAATCTTGTGAGCCATTGTTTAAACTGGATAGACTGCACAGATCCATTCCTTACACACAGCTCTTTGCTTAGATTCAGCTTGCTCCAGGACGTGTGTTGGAAGGGATTTAAATGTTGCTCATGGGGTGCCCAGATGCCTATGGGGACAACAAAGCACAGACAACCTTTAGTGAGGGCATACCCAGGGAAGATATTCCACTTTGTCCTGGCTTGATTTGAGAATAACAGATACTTCTCTTTAATAGTACAGTATAAGAAGCTGTTGAAAATATTGGTCAGTTTATGTGGAATGATCCCTAAAGACTTAAATGCGTCAAAATACCTAGATTATATTTAATGGCTTCTAAATTTTTTTTTTACAGCTCCTTAGCATCTTAAAAACTTTCTGCTTACCCACAGGTTTTGTTGGGACTAATCATGAAATATGTTACTATATTAATGAACAGTTTTACTCTGAAAACTATGGCACTCACTATAATAAAAGCAAGAACATAAATTTTAAAACTTGATATATCTGATTACTAACACTTCTTGTTGTCTGATTTTTGTATGTTTTGAGTGTTAGATTAAAAAGTATGCCTATTACAAGCCTACTATTAAAAGGTAAAAGTTCATCCAGTTATTAAGATAATTAGCTGACCTTTAAAAGCTGAGATGAATTTTTAAAAAATAGGCACAGTTATATAATTTTTAAAAATTGGCTGAAGTCTGTTTTCTTCGCATCTGGCCTGTGGGGTTCCCCAAGGATCTGGAAATTTGGTGGTGAAGGAGTAGTAGCAGTATTAATTGCTACTCCCCTGCTTCCAAATTCCTGGACTGGTGGGGAGCCCTACAGGTCAGATGACGTGACCCTGCACGCTGGATAGTAGAGGTGCACCGATATATAGGTTGATGTAGTATCAGCACCCATAAAAAGAAAATTGACATCATTGGCAGTTGGCTTGTTTTGACTGGTATAGCCGATAACGTCACCAATAAATGCCGTGTGTATGCATGAGCTGCAACAAGCACGCAGCCAGGAATGCAGCCCAGCAGCTTGGAGAGCAGCATCTGACCAGTAAGACTGTAGGAGGGAAAAGGGGCATGGGTGGCAGATTAAGGCCCCCACAGTCAGGGAGGGAGTGGGGCAGGGGCAGGGCATGGGATGGAGCCATGGGTGGTTTGCCTAGAGGAATGGAGAGCGGGGTGGCTCCTGCTGTTGCATGTGCCCCTGGGTGAGGCATGGGGGGCATGTGTCCCCTGCATTTGTGTGTGGGGTTTTGGTGG